AAACGAAAAAAAAAAAAAGAAAATAGATGTATGTATATGTGTGTATATATGAAGTGACAGAAATTGTACAATAAAAATGTCATCGTGAGAGAATCTAAATTTCTACGTTTTCTCTTTTTGAGAAACAACAACATCAAACATCATCATCGGCCATTACTGGAAGACCAACGTCCTCAACCTCATCCATTTCCAACGGCAATCCAACACAAACTCAGATTTCCAGTTCAAAAGGAAGAATGGCTACCAGAACAAGGACTCCGATCAGCAATACGCCAACTTCTAAAGGATCTCCTTGCGTTAAAGGTGGAGCTGGTCAAAATGCCACGTAAGAAACAATTATAATAAGGAATCCTTTGGTTCTTTTTTATTTTAACCCTTGAAGTGCTAAATATGTACTCTTGACCGAAGTGCTTCGTAGAGATTGAATACTTTATTACTAATATAAGTTCCGTTGATTGATTATACTAGACATAGCAAACAATAAATTATAATTGTTATTATTTCAAATAAAATAACACAAAAAAGTGTTTTCCAAAAAAGATAATTCTCAATTATCAATACACAATTCGACATTGCATTATTTGTATTCGTATCAACAAACGCATGTATAGATACGTTTATAGCACTGAAAGGGTTAAAATACGTTACTTTTAGGATTTATTAAATACAGATTTATTTAAATAAATGAAATAATAATAAGTTACAAGAGAGAAAAATAAAAAAAAAAATAAAATAATATGAAGAAATAACTGTCAATAAATGCTATTTAAAAAGCAGACTATCGTTCTTACCGCTTTGTAACTCGTTCAAAACTACAAAGGAAGAAAATTAACGGAACGAAGGAGAAACGTCCAAAGTAATTCGTTATTATGCGAAACGACTTATATAGAAACAATCAAAAGATAAGATAGAGATAAATAGATAGAAATAAATAAAAAAAAAAAGACAGACAGAGAGATAGAGAAAGAGAGTGAAGGATGGAAGGAAGGAAGGAAATGCAGATGAAGCTTTATTATATCAGAGTTCTTGAAGCGTACTATGTTTCACAGACCGTCCCCATCTCGGCACACAAACAAACGAAAGGGAAGAAGTGCGGATGAAGAGAGTCGTAGTTATAGTATGTACATTACTTTGCGCTCTTTCATTCGCCTTTGTTCTTAGATCGTTGTTAAAAAATAAAATCAAAGTGGAAAAACAAAAAGACAGAGAGAATGAAAACGACAGAAAGAGAAATAGAATAAAAGTTCATCAGAAAAAAAAAAAAAAAAATCAATTATTCTACCAAGATTTTCGCTATTTAATTATCTTCATCTTATTATTATTCAAACAAATCAAATCTTTCAATTGGTAATTAAGTTTAAAAGAATAAATAAGTGTAATAATAATCGTTTCAGAGAGAACCTTGTCCCCTGCAAAGTATGCGGACGTCGATTCGCTCAAGATCGCGTGACCCTTCACGAACAGATATGTGCGAAAACTGTGCAGAAAAAAAGGAAACAATTCGACACGACCATGTACAGGGTTAAGGGAACCGAATTGGAATCTTTTGTGAAGAAGGGCTCCAAAAAAAACGAAGTAAGTTACTGTAATGTACTAATATTAAAGGATCTCTAAAATTTGTGACTTCCATTAAACAAAGTTTTGACTCTATATTAATTTGTGAAATCTCAAATCGTAATCAAAATCAACATTTAGGATAGAAAATATTTAATTATTTCTTGTACGAAAAAAAAAAATAATAATAGAAAATAAAAGATTATCTCTATAGAAAAAAAAAGAAGATGGGAAGCAGAGAAAAAAAAGTTAAGATGTTTACACGTAAGATTAGAGAATCTCTCGGAAATGTCAAATGGAAGTTAAATTCAGTTAGAAAACGTAGGTTTAACGTAGAGAAGAAAAGAGAATAGAAAGAAGAAAGGAAGGAATGAAGGAAGGAAGGAAGGAAGGAACAGAGTTCTATTCCACTTTAGATCCTTTGACGTTTTATAAAAGAATCGCGTATGTAGGTCGCGTAGTCATTCTCCCACCCCACCCCACCCCACCCCCACCCCGTGTATGTCCGAAAATATACGATTAGGGTCTATGTTTGTGTGTTCGTTTGCAGTTAAAATCGAAGAAGCCAGAGGTAAAGTCGAATTGGCGACGTAAGCACGAAGAGTTCATAAATGCAATTCGCTCAGCGAAGCAAGTTCAGGCACATCTGGCGGCAGGTGGACGATTGAGCGACCTTCCCCCACCACCGGTCAGCGACACCAGCGACTACATTCAATGTCCCCACTGTGGCAGGAAGTTCAACCAAGCTGCAGCTGAGCGTCACATTCCCAAGTGCGAGCACATGCTGCACAACAAGCCATCTTCTCGAGCTGCACCACCACGACCTAGGCGTTAAAACTCCACTCGATCATTCTCTTCCTTCCTACATTTATATCTTATATTTTTGAACCCCTCCTCCTCCGCCCAACATCCGCCCCCCATTTCGATCGGATCGAAACTTTTTTCTCTCACAATTCGAGGATTTCAATCGAACGAACCAACCCCTTTGAGAATAATAATAAAAAAAATAAAAGTCAGCTTGCAAGTCGAGTACATCAAATCATTCCTAGATAATCCGTTCTATACTCGCGATACATTTATGTATACTATATTTCTACTCTCTTTTTAATTTTTTCTAATATAACATTATCTCAATGATCAATTATAATAATATTAATGATAATAATAATAATAATAATGATAATAATAATAATAATGATAATAATAATAATAATAATGATAATAATAATAATAATGATAATAATAATAATAATGATAATAATAATAATAATGATAATAATAATAATAATGATAATNATAATAATAATAATAATGATAATAATAATAATAATGATAATAATAATAATAATAATAATATTAATAAAACAGAGATCAATGATTATTTTCAATTATTGTTCGATTAGTTATTTTTTGTATAAAAAAGAAAAATGATTGGACCGTTATTGAAAAATATAGAACTTAAGATCGTTTCTTTTTTTTTTTTATAAAAAAAAAAAAAAGAAAAAAGAATTAGAGAAAGTTATTTTTATAAATTTCTTAAAAATGTTTAAACGAAGGTTAAATTCGGTTGGAAAATGTTTTAACACAGAAAGAGTAAATTTTAAACGAAAAAAAACTCTATTAATTTATCTTTTACAAATAAGATCATGATCGAGAAGAAAAAAAAATCATCAAATTTTGTTGAAATTTATCGTAAATGTGATTATAATAATGTGTATTAGATAATAAAGACGCGTATGTTACGTATTTATGTAATTTTGTGTAATTTTAATATCGTTTATTATCATCGACCGTGCCACTTTACTCGTCGATCGATTTATCATTTATTTTTGGTTATCTCTATGATGAAATTGTTTATCGTATATCGCTTATAAATACATCTACTAACTTTTTAATGAGGAATGTAATTACCAGATAAAAAAAAAATCGAATAGATACGCTTTGTATTATAAAATGGGAGGATACTTTCGAAGTTATCTGTATAAAATGAGTAATAACTGTATAAAATGAGATAAAGAACTAGATTTCATTTGAAAAACCGTATTAAAAAGGTAATGAAAATCTAGATGCAATAATTCTTACAATGAGATAATTATTGGATTTTTCAGATAGTTAACACTAGATATACCACCATTTTCAGTATACCTATTTCTACCACACTAGTCAAAATGACTGGTGTATCAAAAAAAAAAAAATGCTTTTTGAGCTTTGCTTCCAGTCTTTATTTACTCGTAAAAAAATAACAAAATTATTATTAACAATAATAATTTTAATAGATAAATGAATTTATAGATATTTTTAAATAGCAAAACGTTTAAAATTATTTACATAAATCAAATGTTACATGAAGTAGAAATTTTGAATTATTAAAATGGCGTCAACTAGTCAAAATGACTGGTCTGGTATATCTAGTGTTAAAACTATGAAATAAAATTATAAATGCATTAATATAGCAAATAATAAGTAGAAAGAATAAAAAAAAATATATGAAATTAAAAATATTAGAAATAATATTTAATAAATTATTCATCCTAAGAGCTTGATGAAAACTCTAATGAAAATATCACAAATTTATAAAAAAAAAATACAAGCAGTTTTTTAGACCGTGTTATTTAAAAAGCGTGTAAAAGAAGAGTTGGATGTATTTAATTTTAAATGCTAACACTTAACACTTTCCTATCAACATATATATATATATATATATATATATATATATATATATATATATATATTGTGTTGTAATGTGTTATATATATTTAAGTTGCGTTCCAATTATCTTTGGTGATATTTTTAATGCTAAGATATATATATATATATATATAANATATATATATATATATATAAATCTATACGAGTATATCTAGTTATCTTTTCGTTACACACGTATCGATAGAAAATGCCAAGTGTAATTTTTTTTGTTCTAATGCGGATTCTTCTAAGTAACACAATAATTAATTTAACGCTAAAAACAACAAACAAAAATTTATATTATTATTACTACGTTAGAATTACAGACTTTATCTTATATAATTCTTTTTTTTTTTTTTTTTTTTAAATATGCAATTAACAAAAAGATAAAAGAAAAATAAAAATAAAATAAAATAAATGTATGTGTGTTATACTTTTATACAATTACTATTGTATGTAGTATCGTTTAAATAAAGATCAACATTTTATATACATATATATATATATATATATGAATATTTCGGCCATTTTCTTTTGAATTATTTTTATCCAAAATATTTCAAATCAATCGTATATGTAATATTATTTAAATAAATATAAATACATATTTTATATAAATATTACGACCATTTTCATTGAAAATTATTTGTATTCCAAAAAATCTAGAGAAATATTATTCATTTCTCAGACGGTAACATACCAACATAAACAAAAATCACTATAACTAGGAATAAAATTATTCAACACGTTGGCATTATTGACATTTTCTCACAACTCTTGGATGTAGTAGAAAGTGTTAAAAGTAACGAAGCAGACGACGAGGTGCCAGATATATAATTTGTAATATAAATTATCATCTCTTTTTTCTTCTTCTTTTTCTATTTTACCATACTACGATAAAAAATTTATTAAATATCTTTTACAGAGTTGATCATGAACAAGAAAGGAATCGTCGTTCAATATCATTGAAATTAATAGTAAATATAAAACAACGATATCATGGATCATTTAATTATTCTAGTGGCAATGATACATTTATTGTACTGTCCATTTACCAAAGTTGAGGAAAGTTTTAATCTACAAGCTACACACGACCTATTGTATCATGGCTTTAATTTATCCGAGGTAATTAACATATTGATTTTTCATTAATTTTTATATTAAAAAAAAAGTAAAACAACTCTTTCTATAAATATATCAAAATTTGTAGTTAATTTGAACGAAAGATTATTTATCTTAGTTGACAGACAGGTTGTCGAACATGAACGATTTGATATTACGCAAAAGCTACAGCATTATATTTTTAGCACGAGATGCGCGTATTTATAATCTTACAATCAGCTGACCTATCGTTGCATTAATGCACCTGTTTTTCAAGATATGCATGCATATATATATATACACACATACATAGCTCTTTCATTGTATATGTGAATATAATAATAATAATAATTTAATTAATAATTCGTTTTTCCTAAATGTTCAAGATTTGTCTTATTCATTGGATTTCTATTTATACATTTTTTTTTTGTTTTTTTGTATTTGTTTCATTATAAATTAATAAAACTTGTATTTTAACAGTATGATCATCATGAGTTTCCTGGAGTTGTACCACGTACTTTTCTTGGACCTATTGTGATATCAAGTCTTGCTTATCCCTTTGTGGCAACTATTCAATATTTTAATATTAATAAATTTCTTGCTCAATACATAGGTAAGTTATTTGTTCAGGAATGATTATTTAAAGATTTCCAAAATGAGCTTTTTTATTTTTGATATATTCATTAAGAAATAATATCTTTTTTTTTTTTTGTAATTTCTTACAGTAAGAGCTACGTTGGGTTTGTTAGTAATAGGTTCATTGAAACTCTATAGAAATGCGTTAGAAAATGTCTTTGGTACTAAATTCACTAATTGGTTTGTGGCTATTACGGTAACACAATACCATTTCATGTATTATCTTAGCCGTCCTTTGCCAAATATAATGGCTATGCCTCTAGGTAATTATATCATTAATTTAAGTTATTAAATAATATCATTAAAAAAAGGATTAAACTATTAGATTTTATAATAAAGTTAATTTGTAGTATTGCTGGCGTTATACGGATGGTTAAAACAAAATCATGTAACATTTATTTGGTCATCGGCAGCAGCCATAATCATATTCAGAGCAGAACTTTCAATACTTTTGGGACTATTCCTTTTATATGATATAGCCAACCAGAAACTTTCTGTTCCAAGGTATTTACATATTATATTGCGGACCATTGATACCTAGTATGGCTGTAACATTACATACAGAAGTGATTAGAATCATCAAGGGATCTTCTGCAAAACTGCACAGATTTGTAAGCTTTGTTTGCGTATCAAATTTATTATCTACAAAGTACTTGCTTTTGTTCAGGAATGATACTGAAAAAAAAAAGAAATAAAAAAATAAGGAATAAAACTATCAGACATACTTTACTTTGAAAATCGATGAATACTTTTATAAACTTAAAGTGAAAATGTTTTTGCCAAAATTTCTATCTCATCCTCTTACTTATTTTCTGTTTTTTTTTTTCCCCCTCATAAAATATCAATACTACAAAGACTAATAGATTGTTTCATTTTTAGATTACTCAAAATTGCTATACCTGCTGGTATATTATTCCTAGCACTTACTGTTGGAATAGACACTATTTTTTGGAAACGTTTATTATGGCCAGAAGGAGAAGTATTTTACTTCAACACGATTCTCAATAAAAGTGGAGAATGGGGTGTATCCTTAAACATTTTTATAAACCTTATAGTAATTTATCTAACCTTAAAGTAATATGTTAAACATAATTAATGTTGCCTTAACATATACAAATAGACATCTCCATTTCTCTGGTACTTTTACTCAGCACTTCCACGCGGTTTAGCTATTTCATATGTTTTAATTCCTCTGGGAATTTTATGGGACGCACGTGTACGTGCATTTACTGTACCAGCTATAATATTTGTGGTACTATTTTCATTTTTACCACATAAGGAATTAAGATTTATAATATATGTCTTTCCCTTGCTAAACGTTGCAACAGCAGCTGCATGTCACAGAATGTAATTATTTTGATCATTAATAATAAAATTATATATATTAAGGATTTACTAATAATATTAATTCTATAATTAACAGATGGGAAAATAGAGGAAAATCACCGTGGAATGGAATATTGTCACTAATCGTTGTCGGACATTTGATTTTAAATGCCATATTTTCAATGTTTCTCTTATGCGTAGCTAGTTGCAATTATCCAGGAGGTTTGGCCATCGCTAGATTGCATAGACTTGAACAAAACTCTACTGAATCAGTGTACGTACATATTGATAATTTGGCAGCACAAACCGGAGTGTCAAGATTTACTCAAACTAATTCATCTTGGATGTAAGTAACAAAATAATAATATCAAACTAATGTATGATATTTTAAAAATATATCTTAATTATTAATGAATTAATAATCTTGCAGATATTCAAAACGAGAAGATTTAACTTTTACTGATCCAGAAATGTTACAATATTCGCATTTATTAATAGAAGCCAAAAGCAAATATTCACCTAATATAAAACCTTATTTAAAAACTCATGAAATTTTGGATTCAATCGATGGTTTTTCACATATAACATTAAATTATAATATTTTACCACCAATTAGAATCAAAACTAAACCAACTATATTCATTATGAAGAGAAAAGCTAATATCAAATACGATCCAAATAAAGCTAAAGTTGTCAAGCCTTCTATCACGGATAATTCATCTCAAAATGATACTACAATGTCAGATACAAATTCAAATGTAACGAATGACATTTTAGAAATTATGGAACCGATACTCGACGACATCGTTGAATCTTTGGAAGAAATTGGAAAACCGTTATCTTCAAATGAAAAATCTTTTATTAAAACTGAAATTGATTCTATGGAACAAAGAGAAACCTTATCTGAAGATATGTCGGATATATTACCAGATGGGAATAAACAACAACTTGTCGAAACATCTGCAGATTCATTAGATAATATTTCTAAAGAAACGGATATAATAAGTCAAGAAAATGAATCTGAAATCATATCTGCAGACAACAAAATTAATACAAAAGATAACTTTGATATGACTTATCCAAAGATAATAGAAAAGAATGTTAATTACGAGAAGGAATCATCAACAACAACGACTCAATTAAAATCTAAAAGTGGTGCCATAGGTGTTTCTGAAAATACTAGTGACGTCAAGGAAACTGTTAAAAAAAGAATTCAAGAAAAAATTCTGATAAATAATGTCAAGAAAGAAATAACTAAGGAAAAAGATAATGTAGACCCTGCTAATAAACTTAATACGAAGATTAAAAAATTAGTGAAAACGAAAGTGGAATCAAAAGTAAAACCAAAAAGTTTAATGAAACAAGAAATAAAGGAGAAGCAACAAATTGTAAATGAAGAAAAAAATAAAGAAGTTACGATCAATGTAAAAGAGAGTATTAGAAACATTATAGATCAATTTAAAGAATTTGAAAAAGATTTTACGTATGAAGATTCCAATTCTCAACAGCAATGGGCTCATTTAAATAATAATAAATATTCTAACGAGATAGATGAAACGATAGAAAACAAGGATACAGAATCATTAAATATTTATCCTACACATAATCAGAACTTGAAAATCGTTAAGGATGCTAAAGAAAGTTTAAAAGAAATAATAGATCAATTTAAACATCTTAAAAATGAGTTAATTTCTGAAGAGGATGATAAACTTGATGAAATAGCTGGTAAATATATGGATAGACCAATATCAGAAACGTTAATGGACTTTAGCGAAGCTTTGAAAAATTTGATTCAACATAGAAAGAAAACTAAAGCGAGCCCTGCTGTTACTTTAAGTTTAGACAATAAAAAATTAATTCACACCCAAACTAATATACCAAAAACAACAATCCCGCAATCAGACATAAATGCTATAAAAAAGGTAAGTCTTAACCAAATCACAGAGAAAGATAAAAAACAACACAAAGATGAAAGAATAAAATCGAAAGCACATCAAGATGCTTCAATAGATATTTCGACAATAAGCAGCTCTAGGATAAACTTAAATTTAAATAAAGTTTCTAACAAAAATGATCATGCTGTAAACATCGACAGAGAATCTGCTGTACTTCCTCCAAAGTCAGTCAATATAGCTATTGACATTAGTCAAGAACAAATTTCTAAAGAAGATACAAGTAAAACAAATAATGAAAAAAGTAGTTGAAGAAGTTGAATCCTTACGTCACAAATCATCTTCTTTAAAACAAGAAATATCTTAAGAATAATGTAAATATGTTTCCTGTGATATGAAAGAACTTGTATTTTTTAGTTGATATTTCTGCTTTACCAATATGGACGATCATTCATCTTTTACCTTTTAAATCAATTAACGATAAATTACAACATATCCTAATGTATAAATAAATTCCAAAGCTTCTGTTAAAAAGAATCGTTACGGATACATTAAAATCTACTTCAATTTACATACATTTTGTTACAAGAACGAGCTGTACAATAAAATTATTATGTCAGGCTGTTTATGGTACAAACATTTTATCCAGTTACTCTATCAAATTTCAATTGCAACAAATGAAATCTTATAATTTTATACTACTTGCATTTAAACGTTGTTTTTTTAAATTTCTAAAAATCTTTTATCTGTTTTCTATTCTGTTAATATAACTTAATGTAATGTATAAAAAAATAAATAATATAATAATATATTCTTATACTATCATCTGCTCCTATTAATTAATATTAATATACAATTTAATATCCATATTGGTATTCGCAGAACAACCAAGTGCCTTACAAATTTCTTCCAAAGCTTATACAACACTAAATGTAAGAAAATAACTATATCTATCTATCTATGTAATATATATTGTGTATTAATGTTGTTTTTCAGCAGTAAAAAGTTTATTAACGTAATTCGTCTATTTTATTAAATACGTAACATTGAAACGTATAACTTTAACAAATATTCAGATATATAACTTATTTATATATTAATATTGAATATTGTCAAAAACGAATTTAAGAATTTTCAATGAGTTCATGTAATGACCGAATAGTTTCAATGCCTACAAATAAAACTGAACCCAATGTTATATTAAATAAAATCTTATCACGTAAACCAGCTTTTAAATATACAGGAACTCCATCATCGCGCTATAAAGTAATATATTTCTAAAGAATTTGTGAAGAAACATTAGTAAATATTAAAAGATAATAAATGAAAATAATGTTACCTGCATTCTTGCCTGTTTTAATTTAAATTTTTGAAAACTTTTTGTATTCTTTACCAAAGTAGAAGCAAGATTTGTTGATGTAGAAAAATATTGATATTTTAAGATAGAAATTTGTGACGATTTCATCCATCTAATCTAAATTAATTTGTTAATAATATTACTTATTTTAATGCAATTTTAAAAGCATATTATAAAAATGACAATCTAAATACTACATATTTAATAAAATACTATAAAATTATGTCAGAAAAAAAAAGTAGAAACTAGATTAAAATACCTTGAAAATATTACTTGATAAGATCATTTTGATATATTTCTGTAAATAAATTTTTTTAAACAAATGAAATCTTCATCAACAATTGACAATGAAAGAAATATCAACGATTCAAACTACACGACACAAACAGTCTTATACTTCGATCAAACATAAAATATATTAGATTAACAAAAAGAACCAAACAACTAAGGGAATTCAAATAGTAATTTGGCGCGATTTTCTGAACAAATTATAAACGCTGCGCATGCGCAGAATGTGGTATCTGTCTGTCTCTCTCTCTCTCTCTCTTTCTTACGGGCTCTTTTTTTTTTTTAATTACTTTTCATAAATAAAAATTAATTTTCGAGTATGTAAAATTATAAAAAGTTACATAATATATCAATACTAATAATATATTGATATAAATAAGAAAAAATAAAAAATTTGTTAAAAATTAAAAATCTATGTTACCAAGAGACGTATTTTCATTTCACTTATTTGAAAAATTAATTTAATTATATTGTTAAATATATATATATATATATATGTTATATTGTAAAAAATTTATTTATAATTTTTTTATATTATTATTATTATTCATATCTTAAGTATGAAAATATTTAAAAATATATACAAATATTTTTTTAATTCAAGTAGTACATTTTAAATATAGATGATAATGTGCATCCTAAAAGTATCGTCACTATTTTACTTTAAAGGTGTAGTAACCTAACCTCAAAATTCAATTGGAGATACAAACAACATATAAGTAAAATTTTTTAAATTTTGTATAATTTATATATGTATGCATAAATTGCATTTAAATTAAGTATTATTTTAATGTAATTTATTGAAATGGCTACAATTCCATTGAGTTTAGGAGAAAAAACGTTTATTCTCCATGGAGTGGATGTAAGTAAATAATATATGTATATTATTTATCATAAGGGAAAACAAATTTAATTTTTATATTAGAAAACTGACAAATATATATCTATTTTTTTTTTTTGACACATTTAGGCGGATCTTAGAAACGATGGAAGAAGAAGGTGTGAATATCGATCATTTGAAATTGAAACTAATTTGATGGAACAAACACATGGTTCCTCAAGATTGAGAATAGGAAATACTGATGTTCTTGTCAGCGTTAAAGTAGAAATAGATTCACCGTATATTGATCATCCAGATGAAGGAAAATTAGAATTCTTTGTAGATTGGTATGTTATTTACATGTGGTATCATTTAAACCTCTACCATTCATATAAATTTTATATATTATTTATTTTTGTAGTTCTGCAAATGCAACACCAGACTTTGAGGGTAAAGGCGGAGATGATTTGGCAACAGAAATAAGTAGAATTTTATCTTTATCTTATCAGACACCGGCTGCATTTAATTTAAGAGATTTGTGTATTTTACCAAGTAAAAAATGTTGGAAAATGTTTGTTGATATTTTGGTAAGAAATATTTGCATTTACGTATAAAATATATATATATATATATATTTTTATACATATATAAATATAATTAAATTCATGATACATAAAAAAACATTTGAATATGTCTGTAGATATTACAATGTGGTGGGAATCTTTTTGATGCTGTAGGTTTAGCTGTAAAAGCTGCTTTATACAATACAGAAATACCAAGGGTAACTGCTGCAACTTTTGATGGTGGAGAAGCCGAATTACAAATATCAGATGATCCTTTTGATTGCATTAAATTAAATATTACTAACTATCCAATTATTGTCACTTTGTGTAAAGTAAGCATATACACAGATATTGTCAAAAATGAATGCAGTCTAAATTAATAGTTATTATCTATCAGTAGTGAACAGAAATGCATATTATATTTTATTTTAGATAGGAGAAAATTGTATAATAGATCCTACTTCAGAAGAAGAAATGTGTAGTCCAGTGAGTACAATTGTATCTGTAATGCCAAATGGTAATTTTTCAACGATTGTCAAAATAGGATATGGTAGTATGCAGGATACGACGTTAATTAAAATGCTCGAGGTATTTCTGACATGTTATATTAATATTTAAACGAGTATAATATTATTTTTTATGATATATGCTATAGTAAAGATAAATAATATATTAAAAAGTATAAAATATGTTTAATGACAATTTTTTTATAATCATTTTCAGATGGGTAAAACTGTTGCACTTAAATTAAATGATGCTCTTATGAATGCATTACAAAAAGAAACAGAACTTGGACTAACGAGACCTGTAGTTGGATTTCTTAGATAAAATATTTTTTTACATGCACAACTATAATTAATAAAAAAAAAATACATCATGTTTTCTTTTATAACCTTGTATTCTTTTGAATTTATAAATATTTTTTAGAAAATTAATACTCTCTCTATGTTTAATACTGCAAGAATAAACGAGCATTCTTTTTAAAATACGTAGAAAACTATCTTGTTATAGAAGAATTTTATTGGTTAAAAGATAGAATATTCAACCAATCACAGTAAGGGAACAACAGCAAACGTTATTTTAGTCATAACAATGAACAAAAGAACTAGCTCGGATAATATGTAAATGACAGAGGTAGAAACACAAGAGGACGAACGATATAGGGTATTTTTAATATTCTCCGTCCTCTGAAAACGTAAGAAGAAACTAATACTTATTTCTGCCACTAGGGCGGCATGACGATCAGTGTAATCCTATTGGAGCACGGCATGCGTAACATTAACAGTCGGCGACCTAAGAGACATTTAAACTCTGAGTTCGAGTCGGCGCTCATGCGACTACAGCGCACTCTGGACTAAAACTTTATTTCTTCCACATTTGGCGGACACTTTTTTTTATACTGCGTTCGTTCTCCTATATTTCTACCTCCGTCATGTAGAGTAAAAAGAGTGTTTGAAGTGTTATGTTGTGTTAAAATAAGTGGAACAAATAAATCTCATTAAAAATCTTTTCTTTCGTTAGAAAACAAATCTTTTTTCAAGTTAAAATATGGAAGCAGAGCCTGTAGACCTCGAAGATGGAGAAGTTGTTGATGAAGAGGTAAAAAATAAACTGTCTTACTTTCAATAAATGCCTAACCTAACCTAACATTCAAAGTATACGAATAGAAATATTTTGTCATCATAAAATAATTCTTCTCGTTTCGTATTTAATAAATGATTACATTAATCTATTAATAATACGATATATTTTCAACAAGACTGTTACTTTTAATAAATTTATAAAAAAATATGATTGTTATACTTTTTCAAGTATTTCAGATTTATAGATAAAATATCTTTTAAAATAAACGTCTCTATATAAATTCAAAAATAAAATTGCATTAGAAAAATAAGTGAATTACTGTGAATTAAAATTTGTCTTTTGTTTATAGCCAAGTGATGCCTTCGAAGGATATAATGTATTACAAAGGCCTCATATCGTACAAGCAAAGGAAGAGCAAGTGAAACTGGGATACAGTGATGAATCAGATGATACCGATGATACGGAAAGTGATTCGGATTCTGATTCCGCACATACTAGAAACAAAAAACCTAAGTTAAAAATAAAAAAAACAAAAAGCTTGTCTAATAATTGGGGACCAAATAATGATAAATACAAAGTATGGTGTACGCAGGTTCAAGAAGAATCATTAACGGAAGATTTAGTTTCATGTGGTGTTACAAAGAAACTTTATCAACGTAATGTCGAAAGTTATAATTTTACTCTTAGATTTCCATCCAATGCTAATGAATCTCACAACAATAATAGTTCAGATGATGAAAGATATTCTGGACAGAGATTAACCAATAAAAGAACTAATTCTGATAGACACAATTTGAAACTTAGATTAGGAAAAAGGAGAAATTCAATGGAAGTTGAAAATCAGAAGGGATCTGTACGTATTATAGCAGATTTAAGTACGACTATAGATTCAACAGATTCAGAAGTCGCCACCGATATTACAAATAAACTTCGTGAAAAAAAGGATTCTCTTATAAGTAATTTGACATTTATATTCTTTAATAATTTATTTCTTAATAAAGCAAAATATATGTGTCATAAATATTTGATGATTACTTTTTTCTCTTATAGGCAAAATAGTGCGTATAATTGGAAAAGAAAAAGCAATAGACTTTTTTCAGAAGACTAAACAAATTGAAGAAGGCGGTGGTTTGTTAATAATGAACGGATCTCGTAGAAGAACTGCAGGTGGTGTATATTTATGGCTTGTAAAAAATGACGAACATCTTCCACAAGAAAAGATCAGAGAAATATTTCAATTCAATAAGAAAAAGAATGCAGAAGAAAATAATAAAAATGTAGAAGTCGATGAGAATAGAAAAAAAACACAGGAACTTATGAGAAATCTTGAAAGTACGTTTCAAATTTAAGTATATAAAGAAGTTATCCATTTAATAATGTATATATATATATAATTTAATATAGTTTAATAATTTTGTATAATATTTCCTATATCTTTTTTTAGATGGTTCTGACAAGGATCTTCCAACTTTACTAACAAGAGCAGAACTTTCAACCAGACAGATTGCAGAAGAAGCAAGATTAAGACGCGGTGTAGGAATGGACAGAATGCCTTTAGACTCCGATCGTACAGTAACTAATCCTCCACCTAGTCCCGTTACAGATGATCCAGATCACACTGAACACCACTCTGAATCAAGACAAGTTCAAGATTATACGGAAGATTTTCTTGACATTGGTATAGATGTGGACAGCATGGAAGTGTTTTAAGTATTCTCATTTTATTTAGTAATTCCTTTCATATATTAACATCAAAGGTACAATGCAGAATAATTCTAATTTAGGCTACAATATAACGCGTCTATATGCAATGATTTTGCAGAATTTGCACATGTGCTCATCATATTCATAGATGACAATGTTAGACTAATTTATAATACAGAAATAGTCAAGTTTTTATTTCCCGTCTTACAATTATTTATTATTCGAATTATATTATTTATGTAATAATATAATTTATAGCTTGTAAATATCTTCGCGATGTGCTTATTATTATATTATTATTATTATTATTATTATTACGACACTTCTACTACTACTACTACTACTACTACTACTACTTCTACTTTTTTTTTGTGTTTGTTTCGACAGAGGAAAAATCTTTTTAAGACATCCCTCTCGGGCGTGTGGGATTTCCACCCACTAAAAAAACCCTGCCTCTTCACACTCCATCCCGGAAACACAGCTTGTAGCCACTACGTCGAGAATAGTCTTATCTAAGCTTCACCTGTCGATTGGTCGTCTTTCATCTTTTTCCTCTCTTTTCATTATCTCTACTATCAGCTCGTTTACTTCGTCCCATGATGCCTTGCTGGCTATCATTTCTGCTGTTAAATTGTCCACGGTTAGAATCTTGCCTATTTTTGCAAAGGTTGTCTGTCTCCTAGTTTCCTTCCTTACTGAATCTGTCTATCAACATTTTCATCTCCGATGACTCCTTCATGAGCTGCCCTCCCCCTATCTTCCGTCTCGGTCTTTTTCTCGCTCGCAACTTCCTCCTTCCCCGTGGTACATGCTGTCCAGGAGTGTGCTCTTTCCCGCGGGGGTGTTCTTTGTACTCTTCCCTTTCTTTTGAAGGGGTCCCAAGTCTCCCAGTTTCCAGTAACTAAATCCTACATTCCGGCCTGGTTTCCTACCGGAGATGCTGAGTAGTTGCATGTTGATGATCGGGCGGGGCCTACTCGCTTACCCACGTCACCGACCGGAACTGGAGATCCGACCTCCTTGCTCTGTAATGTGTTTCACTTTTTTCTCCATTTCTCATATGTTTGTTCCCTTTTAGTCGCCTTGTACGATAAGCAGGAAGCATTGTAGGGGATATTCTACCCCGCCCCCCCCACACGGGGAACTACACTTCTACTTCTACTACTACTACTACTACTACTACTACTACTATTACTCTACTATAACTACTGCTACTATTTCTTTTTCCATTTTCGTATTAGAATTATATTTTACTCGCTTACATTTTTATATTCCAATCTAAAATGTCATGATTATGAATACAATGAGATATGGTGATATGAAATATGTAGCCGAAGTACGAAATAAACTGAGGATTTAAATATTTGCAAAATATACATTTACATTAATTGATAAAACAATTTATACTGGATTTAGGACGATAAATAATGTCCATGTAAATAATGTTTTTAGGAATAAATCAAATAGACTATAATTTGTACTATGAACTAACAAATGATTAAATCTTGTACAAAACATTTTTGACTGTTGCTTGAAATAATTTGATTGCTATAAAACAATGATTTGGTAGTTGTTATTTTTTGTAAACTTTAAGAGATATATACTGATTTATAAGAATCCCTTTAGCAATACCATGATTATTCGTTTTAATAGAATTATTAATATATTTCCAACGAAAGAAAGTGATAAAAGTAAACTACTTTAATATTTTCATTTAACATTTTGTTTCTTAAACAAAATAATAATAAAAAAAATAAAAATAAAGAAACAAGAACAAAACTCTGAAAATTTTAAAAACAAGAAACTTTATTTCATTAATTACAGGAATGCAATTAAGTTTTTATCGTAAATCAATTCTTTAAGAATATTTTTATTATTATTAATATTATTATAGATATACATATGTGTCAATGTAATAGTAAGTTTTCTCTCACTATACAATAACAGACATCTTATGTGAAAATGTTGAATAATCTTGTAAAACAACATTTTGTATGTTGTAATTTAATCCTATTTCTTAGTAACAATTTTATATTTGTACTTATCTCGTGTATTTGTTTGTTTTTAAAAAATGAATGAAAGTATAATTATAAATTTTTAAATAATTATATAAAAAAAAAAAAAATAAAATCATATACATAATAATCATATTAAATAAACATTTTCTAAATACAACTACAATAATAATAAATAATATTTTTTCAACCTTTTTACAATGATAATTATTTTGTGTAATTATATATAAATATCACAATCCAGGAATTTATTCGAGTAATATATTATGCCATTTTTTCTAGTAAAGATAGCAATGTTTTACTTCTTTCTTTCACCTAAAATGAGATAATATCAGTATTTATGTAAACCACAGAAAAAAATAATAATTATCTATGTCTCTCTATACCTGTTCAATGGTACGATCTCCCAATGTTTGGCTAATTTTTAGGAATGTACTCTCTGAATATTCTTCTTTAATATTTAAAAGAAGAATCATGTCTTCTTGTCGTGTCCATGGCCTTTCATTAGCAAATTCCACTTCACAATTTGTATCCAAGTCACAATCATTTGAAACATCCATTTTATCTGAACTTCTGCTGTTATTTATCAAATCTTTTTCTGAACTAAGCGACTTTATACTATTTTCTGTTAAAATTATATTTTTAATTTATTATTTGCTCTCACACACGAATATATAAATATTAGCTTAAAAATAAAATCAATTACACTTACTCATATCCTGTTCCATATTCTTATTCATAAACGTTTTATCTTTCTGAGATATTTCTTTGTCATAATATTCACTTTCCGAACACGAATTGTCGTAAGTATTTTGTTCCAATCGTGTCTTACGTTCAATCTTCTTTTCACGTTTATTTATTGATTGAGGAGAAGATGCCTTTTTATTAAATGTCATTTCATCGGTGAATGTTACTTTTTTTAACGATTTCTTAGGCTCTCCCGATTTGGGTGGAGATCTCGTACCCCTTTTCGGTCTCGATATGATCCTTTCATTATCATCATTCTCTTTCACAGGAGAATTCTTAGAAGGACATTGTTTCTGACACGACTCCTCAACACCAATATCAGCTTTTGAAGATTTTCTACGTTGCTTAGACACTAAAGGTGCTGTAAACTTATCAGCAACTTTTAAAGACACTCTTGCAATATTTTCTAATTTTTCGTTATCTGCTCCTGGGAATGTTATCTTTGCAGGACGTAAACCTTCCGAAGTTTGAAGATATATTCTTCCATTGAGAAACTATAACAACAACAAAATATGTCTATAATAAAATTTAACTAAGGAGGCATTTTTATGAATATATATATATATATATTATAAATATATACCCTTGTTCCACAAGATATACAATGTTCGCTAATATTTTTGTTAGTCGACTCATCCGTATTATGACAATCACATTTACAATTATCCCCACCATAGGGATCTTCCTGAGAAACTGATATCGGTAATTCTATGTTCTCGTATAACTCTGGAGCATCATCCGCATATACTTTATTTTTATCGTGGGGACCCAATGGACAAGTTAAATTTTCGAACATTTCTACTGCAAATAAACTATAAAAAAAAAATGCATTTCAATAAACAAGTACATAATCCAAATTTAATAAGAACGTTAAGATTAATTACCTTTCCGGAGGTTTGCCGCTAGGTAACGTTTGTAAAAATAGATCCATAACTAATGGATGTCCTTTAAGAAGAGGAGTCATAACATTATGAACATTTTCTAATGTTATATTAGGATCGGATGAAAGTTGCGTAATTGCCTGCATTATTTTTGCAACTCGGGATGGTTGCTTGGTAAAATAAATTTGTATGACATTTAAAAATTCGCTCATTTTTTGTAACATTATGTATTCTACCGATTTATCTATTAACGCAGCTTGATGTGGTTTCAAAAATAATAATAAATCCGAACACAATTCTGGAAAAGCGCGTAATTTATCATAAATGTTTTGATATAAATTTATGGCTAATGTATCTCTGGTTATCATATTTTTCTCTATCATTTCTTGCATTTCAGAGGATTCAGAACTTTTTGAAAGAGATAATTCATGTTCCAATTCGTCAAGATTTTCTATTTTGTCATCATAATCTAAAATGATTTTAATCACTGCTCGTAACAGTTCTAAATTGTTAGATTCTAATGTTGTGTGTAATTTTTGAAGATATGATACTGCGAATTCTATATATGAAAACAGAAAAGAAAATAATTAATTTATAACTTTTTTTTTTTTTTTTTTTAATAATATAGTTCAATTAATATTATATTATACTTTAACATACTTTCTTCTTTTTCTCCTTTATTCAAAATATTTTCTGCTTCCAATAATCTTTTTATATTTTCTAATTCTCTAGCCTGTTTAGCCTTTTTTCTATTATCCTTTTTAATAGTAGTGCTAGCTAACATAAGTTCTGCAATTTCATCCTCATTATCCTGCAATTGATGATTATATATGCATATAATTTATTTTTTATTTTTTTTTTATTTTAAATAATTGATTGTAACTTACAACTTTCGTCAATGTAGAAGAAGACTTTAAATTTGTGTCCAAATCTCCCTTTCCTCGAGATTTCGCATTACCGCAATTGGATACATTTTTGGATCCTAATCCTTGAGCCATTAATTTCATATTTTGTGCACTCTTCGTTTTGGCTAAACGTGGAGTTGTTTTTCTTATTTGTGGAGATTGCAATAATACTTCACTTGATCTTTTTGTTGCTCTTGTTGTAGTTTTGATTTCTGCATTTGATGATTCGATTGATTCACTTTGTTCTTCTTTTTTATTTGCAATTGTAGAATTGCCTGTATTTTTTGTACTTTTATTTAACAATTTTCTAGTATTACTAATATTACTTGATTGTTGTTGTGATCCCGTAATACGAGAATTACTATTTCCTTGAGCATTTAATACATTATCTGTTGTTATATTATTTGACGAAGGTTTTAAATTTGGCATTATTTTAGGTAAAACGTTTACGACTGGATTTCGTAATGGATGATTTCTCGAAACACAAGGATACATATTAAAATTATCATGAATTAAACTTTTTATCGTAGATTTATCGTTAAATAAATTCGATTTGTTGTTAGCATGTTTCAATAAATCCATGTTTGGATTAGCCTAAAAAACATTATTAAATTAATTTCATTCGTTTCATTATATTTTTTACTAAATTAATTAAAACATTTTGTATTTATTTACGTTGATAAGATAATCCTGCCATTTTTTAGGTAAAAGATGTAATGGCTGATGCATCGGTGCTTTGAGATCACAGTCTAATGTTATGCAATGTATTATTTTAGGAGCTTTACCTTTTTCAAAATAATACTGTAATAAAATTGAATTAAAAGCATTGTTTGTTAGTTAAAAAAAAAAAAAAAAATAGATAAACTGAAATTAATTACCTTAATTGGATTTGAATCTTTAGCAGAACGGCGTTTTTGAATATACAAAAATATTCTTTTTGAATCTCTAACAGGTATTAAATATTCAGTAATAAGTTGAGCTACATCAAATAGTTGAAACTTTTTACTTTTAAATTTCGTCTTTAGAGATGTCACGAACGGGAAGAATTGTTCAAGACCTAAGGCGATTAAACTAAAATAAAAATATTCATTAGGATAATACAATGAATGAACATAATTTTTATAAAATATTTTCTTTTTTTTAAATGTCTTACCTTTCTTCTGGCTTTGTTAAAGGTGACTTCGTGTATTTAGTTAATTCATTTTGAAAAGGTATATTTGGTAAAAGTTGCGGATACATCAAAGCTTTACTTTCGACGAATAATTTGATTAAATCAGGATTTAATTCAGATACATATTTACGTTTATTTTTAAGATACATTATTTTCATATTATGTTGATCTTCTATATATTTTTTAAATTTCTCTTGAAATTCTGTATCATCAAATTTTTCTTCCCAATCGGAAACTAATTTCAAAGCGTCATTTATATTTTCTACATTGAATGCAGAATTTGAACTGGTTATTAAGTATCTAAGAAAAATAAATAATACAGATAATAAAATGTATCTCTGAAAATCTAACATTTTTGTATTAATTTAGTATCTTGTAATTATCTTTTTATATACCTTACACTATTTAAATTGTCTTTACATGGTTTTGAAAGGTCATGTAACTTCGGATGCATGTATGTCATAGCAAAATGTTGTGCCATTAGTTGAACATGTTGTCGAAATTGAATAGCCAATAAATAGCGTTGTTCGTAGCTTACTAATATTGGAGGTTCGGAGCAATTCTATTTAAAAAAAAAAAAAGAAAAAATTAATTAAGCGATTAATTAGCGATTCAAAAGTGAATTTTTGAAAAATTATAGAAGTATTATATCTTTTTACTAATACATTATTTTCAATTGGTGTGTCAAAATTATCTAATTTCTTTTTCTTAGACACGGGTTCCTCTTCTTGGAGAGATGTATTTTTAAAATCAAACAAATCGTATAATTCCTTTAAAGTGATTTTAACATCTTTGTCGGCTCTTAATTCTTCTTTATCCACTGAAAATAAATAAACATTAGTAATATGACCCATTTCATTTTAATTAAATCTATTATACATATCAATGTTCTTTTATCTCTAAATACTAACATAGGTCTATCTCTTCATCTTCTAAAATGTTATATTCAGGATCTATTTCTGGATCATCTTCTGCAATATGTTCTTGTTCCAAAGGTTGCATAAATTCTTTCAAAAAATTTCCCCAATCTTCATCATAATCAGACTCGTACATATCTGTTGTAATATCAGGTGGTACAAATGCTTGTTCAATTTGTTCCAATGGTGTTTTGCTCAAGGAATATTTAGAACGTGTTCTATGACCAATACTTTCTTCTTCTGTTTGTATACGAGGTACGCTAGAAAATATAGTATTTTAATAATGAAAGATAACCGATATAAACTATAAAAAATATTATCGTCTTACCTAGGAATTTTAAAAATCCCATCCAAATCATATTGAATATTAGGAGACTCAAGTTGTTTTTCTAAAGCTAAGTCTAATTGACATATTGGAGTAGATGGTTGCGATTCTAGATCACTATTAGCCAAATTTTCTATTTCTCTATCATCATCGCTTTGTTTATCTTGTTCTGGCTTATATTCCTCATCGGAAGAGTCTTCTGGAAATTCTTCATCTATTAATACTTGTAACGGTGGTTTTTTAACAGATCTACTAGTATTCCATATTATGTTAACTTGTTCTACAGCACCTAACTCTCTGTTATAACATCAATTAAATTTATGTATATTACAATAAAAAAAAAAAATATAGTTTATATTAAAATAAAAAATATATATATTTTTTATGAAAATAAAGTAACATACTTTGCTTTAGCTCTAGTGAGTTTAGGTTCAAAAAGAACATCTTGATTATTATGTAAACGTTTCTGTACTACAGCCATTACTTGTTCATTGTTTGTAATAACACGTTTTAATATGTTTTTAACATTTTTGGCAGTCAAATTAGTCTTGGCTGCTTTAGCATCGAGCTGTCTTTCAATTTCTTTTTCCATTTCATTAAGAACTGAGATTTCTTTGATTGATTCTCTTTTATGTTTAGTGGATGGATCATCATTATCAATCTCCGCGATATCTATTTGTAAATCAGCAGTTTCGGAATCAGATGAATGATCACTGTTTGTATAATCAAAGTCAAAATTAATTGAAAAAGATAAATTGCATTTTTTGGAAGCTTCGTTTAAATGAACCGAAGGAATTAATGAATTTCCTTGTTCTTCTTTCGCACTTTTTTCTGGATCCATTTCTTTTGGATCCATTTTTTTTACTAAATCTAATTATTAATATTTACTTTTTTGTTAACAATTTAATACTCTTTTCATGACTTTATTCAGTACTATTTATAGGTTATATTTTCTTTTCATTACTTTTATCAATACCATTTATAGGTTATATTTTTAACCTAAACAGTTACCATCGCGCTCTCTATTGAGTAAAATTTGATATATTGCGTTAAATTATTATAAAATTTTAGTACATTAATATCAAGAAACAACGGTGCACGTACAATATAGTTTATTTACATTTAAACAAATACACAAAATTACATAATTTATATTTATAATATTATTTAAATAATTTTTTGTTCAAACTAATTTGATGTAAAATAAAAGATTATAATTACTTATAAATATAATAATTGTATAAAGAAACACGTGGGGTTATGAACACAAATTATGAACAGGAACAATATATAAACATGTTCAATATATGAAAATCATGAATAATATATAAAATGATAATAATTGTTAAGAAAATTTCTTACAAAAGGATGATCAAAAGATGCTTTGATATTTTTTATAGGTTAAAATAAACATTATTTTCTTTTCCTTGATTATATGATCTTAGAAAAAACATATATTATGTTAAACATGTATTTTCTTCGACGTATATCAGTGCGATTTGTAAGTTAACAATTAATTATAAAAAAAAAAAACAACACATAATGTGTCAAACTTGACTTGTACTTTGTATAATATAATTATCATATAATGATAATTTTAAATATATATTATCATATTTATAGTTTTCATCCAAGCCAAATGTAAAGCTTGAAGACGATTTAAATAATTTGTTAGATCAAAAATTATTAAAGCATCGACATCATCCTGGAATCATAAATCCACGATTTGTTGAAGTACCCAATTGGATTAAGGATTCAATTAAAATAGTTTTAGATGGTTTGTAGTAATTTTTATCTAAATATGATGATAATAACGTAATATATATATATATTATGTGAACTAATTATTTTCTTTTTATATGTATTCTATAAAGATTCCAATATTTCTAACGAATATTTATGGAAAGGTGGACAAAAATTGATGCAACATTTACTCGGTAGACATATAACAATCAAACAACCAGTTGTACCGAATGAAGAAAAAAGAATATATGATTCTATGAATCCTACAAAATTATATGAAATAGTTGATGATACTAATATTAATAATGATAATACGAATAATGATTTTAAATTGGAGTATCATGAAAAAGAAAAATCACATCATTCATCTAATATCCCTCTCAATTATAACAGACAAAGTTGTTTGTTATATTTAGTTGGTAGAAGTCAATTTGAATATTCTGTTGTATATAGGATTTTGAATCAAATTAAAACGAAGGATGTCGATTTTAAACCAAAAACTTTATTTGATTTTGGATCTGGAGTTGGAACAGTTATGTGGTATATATTAATTTTATTGTATAACTATTAAAGATATATAAATATTATAAATAATCATGAAAGATATTATTAATTTAGGGCATCGTCACAACTTTGGTCCGATTCTTTGATAGAATATTTTGGTGTAGATACTTCTTCTCATATGAATGATTTATCCGCAGAATTAAATAACCATAACACTCATCCTATCAAAAACGTATTCTACAGACAGTTCTTTCCTGCGACTCCTGTGGTATAATTATACTATTTTATATATATATATACTCTGTTTTATAAATACCAAATGAATTATTGTTAATTACATTTTTATGGTTATAGCCTCTTTATGATATTGTTGTTAGTTCATTTTCTTTATTGGAATTACCTGACATTGAGAAACGTTTCGATATTGTACAAAAGCTTTGGGCTAAAACACAAAATTATCTTGTTATTATTGAAGATGGAACAAATGCTGGATTTGCAGTATGTATTATAGAAATTTATTGAAATAATATTAATTATATATATTTTTACACATAATTAATATCAATCATCTTTTTACAGGCAGTAAATGAAGCACGTGATATTTTACTCTACAATCCTTCGCAGTCAGATAATAAAAATGATAATAATATTCATGTTTGTGCACCTGTAAGTGATCTCTTCTATTGTTATTATTATTGTTATTAATTGACATTAGGAACTCGAAAGTTCATTGTCGCAAATACGAAATCTCGCCAGTGGTCCTGTCCGTGAGCATGATCCCTCCATTCTCGTTCTTCGTAGGCTATTTCCTTAAGATACTCTTTTATATTATAGAATATATATTTATTCAAATTATTCTTAAATTTTCAAACTACAGGGATTTTTTCTAATACCGTTAATATTTTAGAAAATATTTTGTTTTAGTGTCCTCATGATATGAAATGCCCGAGATATCACACGGATAATACTCCTTGTAATTTTGACATTTCTTATTACACATTACCAGTGTCAGGAACTTCTTGTTTAAAAAAGAATCGTTTTTCTTACGTCGTATTGAAGAAAGGTAAATTTAATGATAATAAAATATCTTCTTTATTAATAAAAAAATATATATTGTTATAGATAGAATATTATTTTTTTAGGTGCACGATCAGATAGCGATAAACAATGGCCGCGTATTGTACGGCCAGTATTAAAACGATCCAGGCATGTAGTATGTCGTACATGCACAGCTAATGGGAAATTAGAAGAGATCATTTTCACTACATTCAAATATGGAAAGTTAGTATATAATGTATTTCCTTTTTTATTGAACTTGTGGATAAAATAAAAACATCAATAGCGTTTAATTATTAAATGATATGTTTACAGAAATGCATATCGTTGTGCAAGAGTGAGCAAGTGGGGAGATTTGTTACCAATAGAAATCAGTAAAGATAACGCGAGTTAATAGACTTTATTATTTACTATTGAAATAATAAATGTAACAAACTTACAGAAAAAAAATGTTCAATGTTTTAAAAAATGTTTACTTATTTTAACAGTTTAATGAAATGATAGGTACAAAGTTTTTGTATAAAAATAAATTTAATGATACAACTGCATTTTTAATATTGTGATTAAAATCGGTTCTATATTTTTATAGAAGATTTATATATGGATTAGATTCTAGAAGTAACCAATACTTTAAATGGTTTTAGACCAATAGTTGCACCATCAACAATATCTAATGTGGATGGCTTTTCTCCAGGAACTACAGAAAACGTAAATCTTTGTAAGAGAGAAGCTATTATAATGAATAAATTACTTCTTGCTAATGTTTCTCCTAAACAGCGATGCCGACCTGTTATAAGTATAAATATATTTATCAATTTTGTCTTTCTTTTATATTATCTTTTTTATTATTTTTCATTGTATTTTATATAAACGTACCTAAGCTGAATGGACAATATTGATCTGGTTCAGAAATTTTACCATTTTTATCAATAAATCTTTCTGGTCTGAATTCTTCCGGATCATTCCAAGAATTGTCCATAAGTAATCCATTAAAATTAACAATTATCATTGTATCCTGTAAATCATGCAAACAGTTATATTTTATTTGCTGAAAAATAATGATTTGATTTTATTTATAAATATATTAATATAATATAATATCATACCTTAGGAATTTTATATCCCATTATAGACGTATCTTTTAATGCTCTGTGTGGTACATTCATAGATCGTCCCGCAAACATTCTCAATGATTCCAAAGCAATTGCGTTTATATACGTCATCCTTTAATTAAATCATACACACGTTTAATTTAAATATTAAAATTATCAAAAAAAAAAAAAAGAAGCAATAGAAATCATACCTCGGTCGATCAGCTACTGTTGGTAAACGTTTACAACCGATAATTCTATCGATTTCTTCTTGCGCCTTTTTTTGAATATCGGGATAAAGTATCAAATAAAGAAAACCAAAACTTAGAGCTTTCGATGTTGTTTCAGAGCCGGCGACAAAGAAGTCAACACAAATACCTAACAGCTGAGATTCTGTAAATAATATATGATCTTAATTAATAATTTACTATATAATAGTAACAATTGTGTTATGCATTTTAATGTTATACCTGAAAATGTTTCATTACACTCATTGGATTTTAGAGTTGATAAGTAAACGTCTATCAAATTTTTTGGTGCGTCCAAATCAAAATTATTCTTATGATTGTTTAATTCATCCTAAAAGAAATATAACTTTAAAAATATATGAATCTGTTTTAACATTTCGAAAAAAAAAAAAACAAAAAACAAATAAAACATTTTTTCCTAGTTTAAATAATGAAATAATAAAATAGTTTCGTGATATTCATAATTTTATTTATACTCACAAGTAAGAACAACCAGAGTTGTTGATGCACCTTTATAAATGACTGATAGCCAGAAAGTTTAGGAGCGATTAATCTTAAAAATGGAAAATGACTGAACGGTGCACCTATCATATCGATCTCTTTAAAAAGTGTATTAAAGATTTTTTGAAGATACATCAACTTCTCGTCATTGGTATTGAATCTATTTAACGAGAGAGAGAGATAAAAAAGAGAGAACTACTATAAATAATTATTTTATATATTAACTAATGATTATATAAAAGTGTTTATATTTAATTTAAGCAATTTAATATTTGTTAATTGTAAAGTATTTAAAAGTGACCTTTTACCAGCCATCATTCTCCATAAGCTGTTTAAGACAGTTACACCAAAGGCATCGGTTCCTGATATGATTATTTGCTTCGGATTTAATTTATTATTCGATTTATAATCATTTATTTGAACATTTAATTTTTTATCAATATCACACTGGTCCATTACATTAGATTTAAGCGTTTTCTTTTCATTATCGATCATTTCATATAAATTATCATCGTTATTATTATTAATATTAATATTTTCTTTATTAATCAATTTCTCTAAATATTCGACTAATTTCGTGGCTTCATCCTCTACAATTTCAATCATGCTATTTCGACCATATCCAATTTCTCTCAAATGACGAATGATAAATCTTCGTTGTTCTATCCACAATTGACCATCAACTAAGATAAGACCTGATAAAATAAATATTAACTTAACAAATAAAATTATTACATTATTAATCGTTTGCGTACCAGAGGGCTTTCAAAAAATATGATTGAGACAGCTGAATTTCACGATAGTTCCCGTCAATCAACATGTCCTGTCCCGTGTGGGGCGTATACGACCCCCACTACACTTTCTTGGAATTCTCATTGAAAAACAAAGAATTATTTAAAAAATTTTTAATAATTCCTTAAAAATTGATATTATTATTTTGTTATCTAATGCGTATTAAAATTTATATCTTTTTCCTGCTAATTATAGCTTTGTAGTATTGAAAAAAAAAATGTAAGTTTAAAAATCAGTCCAAGTGCGTCCCATTACAAAAATCAGTTCATTTCTCTTCCAAGCGATTATTAGATAAAATAACTTTTATGCCTAAAAGATTGAAGGACTTTGAGACGCATAAATGTCCCCATAACAGTGCATCAGCAACAACAGTGATTTCACGATTGAGTTTTGAATTGATTGCAAAATTTTTCCGACTAGGACAAGCCGACTTTTCCGACTTCCCAGTCGGAGCGAAAGGATTCAAATGTGGGTCGTATACGCCTTGGGTGATCTAAATGGAAAATTTTCAAAAATTGCTGTGAGACACGAAACATTTTTGGCACTTTCACTACGTGAAAGTATCGAAAAGAAGCTGAAGAGACCAATTTGCGTATTTTTAATTATTGGTGAGCAATTTGGAAGTATGTCGTCAGTTATCTTTATTAACGAAATGCTCTGAGTTTTTTCAACAAAAAATCTGAAGAGCATAAAAGCGGCCGCCCATGGTACTCAAACGGATAAATTAATAATTATTATAAATAAATAATTCACCTCTTCTTTCTCCACAAGTTCTTACTTTGTACATAGGACCAGTTGGTCTACCCTCGCAATCAGGATTCTTAAGCATACAATTGACGCTTTTATAATCGTTCAATATTACTATACGATCGCTACCAACTTTTAAACCAGTCACTGATCCATATTTTTTACAAAGTAAGGAAAAAGTTTTATACAAATATCCTGTGTCTTTTCGTAATTGTGCTATTTCCATTGCACAGCCAAGAATTGGCCACCATTTAGGACCTATTCATTAATGATTTTTAATAATTTAATTAAAGTTTATCATAACTGTCTCACATACATTTAATTCGAGCATTTTGTTTATTAATCTAAGAACCAGTGGCCACCAGACACTGCACATAGTTTACCAAATTTTAAATTTCATTCAATCAATCTCTATACATAAATGTGAGGAAAACTAACTAATGTAAGTTCGGTGGCGATCGTTTGTTACTCTGGGGATATTAATTTAATAGAAGAACAGTTACAAAATCTGTTCAACGTCATTTAGAAGTTTACCTACCAAATGTATAAATATATTCTTTCTTAACCCATTTGCATCGAAGCGCGGAATAATCCGCGAGCCGCGACTGTCGACTATTACCAAACGCGGAATAATCCGCATAAGAAGCATTTGTTTTTCTATCTGTAAGCACTTGAACGGTGATACCGGTCAGTCGTAAGTTTTATGTCTCGGATTTTTGAACAAGGAAGACTAATTCTAGTAGTCATGATGCAAATGGATTAATTCCGTAAACAATTATTATGTTCTTTTATCGAATTCGTATTTCACTTTAAAATAATAAAAAATACAAATACAAATTTCAATGATAATATTATTTTTATCGTCATTATACTTTGGTATTTATATTATTGTATTTAAGGCAAGAAAAATATTTATAATGCTCGAACTAAAATGATAATATTGCAAAAGTTTATAAAAATGATATACCTGGTGGATATCCTTCAGGTTTGCGTGACTCCAAGTACAATAAAAATATTGTTATTATTAAAAATAAACCGACTATGACAATCATTCTAAAAAAAAATCGTGAAATATAAGTCAATTGTAAATTTGTAAATTTTACAAATTACTTTATCACTTATTGAAAATCTAAAATACTTCAAAAGTTATACTGCGTTTTTAGTATGTATATTTAATAAAAAACTGCACAAAAAAATATTTGAACGGTATTTCGGTCGATTGAATGATACTCGAGTCAATGGTTTATTCGCGATGCAGAATTTCAAACTGAAAGTAAAAGACACCATAAGAGAATACACAGATACTATAAGAGAAAGTTGCATACGTAAGAAATAAGGATACACCTTTACCTGTATTATACCATATTTAACGTCCTGCGTAACAGTAATACTTTTAATATACTAAGAGAAACCAATGATTAATCAGAATTTGATTATTACAATTTAAGATAATTTTTTTATCTATAATTTTAATTTAAAATTTAATAATGCTTTTAAAATATTATTGTTATAATTAATAATATATTTTACTATTATTATACTAACTAAAAAAATCCTATTGACTCAAAATTAAAAAAACAAGCCTAACATTACAAATAAATAAGTCATTTTTAACAATGCAATATTACAATTTTGGTTTCTCATTAATACAGTTATTGTAAAGTTTACAAAAATATTAGAATGTAACAATTCCTAATAATAATTATTAATTTCGTATATATATATATATATATATTAAGATTAAAAAATACTTTATAATGTGAATTAAAAAAGTGCATATATTTATTATACAAAGTTCAAAAATGTACGGATCCTGGAAGCGCGTTTTGAGCGAGCGGAGTGCCGTACACAATGTGTTAATATTAATTTATTTCTTAATTTATCTATCTACACATCATCTTCTCACATTATCTGCATTATTTATAATTATCAAGATTTCTTATTTATACATCATTTACACGTTAACTTCATTATTATTTTTTTTCTTTTTTTCTTTTAACTAATCCTCATATTTACGGACTTTTCTTTTCTCTCGTTAAACATGGGAAAGCAAAAGAAAGTTATTTTTTCTTTAAAACTTGCTGCATATACAGGACAGGACATAACTTTCGACTCAAAGTCGATTTATTTGAAAATCCATTAAATTATGATTCATATTCTTGTATAGTACTTTCCCTTTCCAATTTTTTTCCTTTTCTTTTTGTTACATTTTTCTGGAATTATAGTCACTCTATTTAAATTTCGTAAAATCGAGGTTGTTCTCTCGGTCGGTGGTGCTGGTGTAAATTTTTCTGAT